ACTTCTTAGACACCATCTCATCCTAAAGTAGATGTCTAGAACAGGTCAGAGGAATCTAATGCTCAGGGTGCCTATTTCGCTTTCCTGATGGAAGGGGAAACTAGTAGGACCAGCACAGATGTGGGTTTCTGTGTAAAAAACTGTGAAATGGGCCAAGCGAAATCCTACATGATAAAACACCCCAGATGATTCATGTTACCCACTACCCTCAGTGTTCTCCTAGTCTGGGCTTTGCAAATGCTGAAGTGGAGATAAACGAAAAGTACGCGAGTCTTCTGCAGTTCTGTATGCGACTCCTAGTCCCACAGAACATCTGTAACATCTACTGACTGGAGTTCTACCACTGTCCTTTCTGCAGATCTTCTAAACACAAAGTGGTTCCATAAAAACCCACAAACTACTAGAATTTAAAACTTACAGTAGAAGAGTACAAAGTATGTATAAGGTTACACAAATAAGCAGGCTGATAAACTGAACGCTGGTGTCCTTTACAGTTGCCTAAGAACATGCTCATGACATTATCTTAGTAGTCAGACTACCAACAAGTTCTTAGTTATAGATGTAGTAACGTACCCCCACCCTCAATAAATAGTTATTAAAACATATGTTAAAACTGCCAAGTCCCAGTCCTACCTTACCCCTTTTTTCCATATTAAAAGTTCTCCAGGCAGCAACCTACAGGAGAAAGAGAAAGCACCCTCCTTAACAGACAGGCATATCTTTAGTTCAAGGGCACCTAATTCCACCTTCCTAGCATCCTAAGGTGTTACTGAAGCACAGGTGGTACTGCACTGCCATAACAAACTCCAAGACAGCTTTCCAAAGATCATTTTACAAATACAAAAATCTCCCCAAATTAAACACTGACACCAGCACACCACCTTACTCAACATTTTCTAGCTGTTACTTCTATCTCTGCCCTTCAAATTTCCTGTACCCTGTAACAATACACCTTGCCTAAAATCCACTCCAGTCCCACAAGGGTCTCACAGGCCTCTTCTGGAGGCTCAGCAGGTTTATAATTCAGGTGTTACGTGTTCAGGTTAACATGAGATGTGTAAGGCCTTATTTCAGATTCCAAATTTTTTCAGTCTTGGCCAGTTGCTCTGTTTCCTGGCATGGATGCTTTGACTGCACTGCTAAACCTGTCGGTGCCTGTCCTGCTGCCAGTTACTAGCGCATGGACTCCAGATGCAGGCAGTTGGGTCTTACGGCACTAACAGTAAACTGACCAAGGAAGCAGAACTTCTGAAGGCAGGTCGTCTGATAGGGTTTTTTTTGGGTGGGTGCAGTGAAGAAAGGATGTTTTGCTTTTGTTATCTAAAACAAGAGTATGCAATTTTCTAATTTTCCTCCATCAGTCAAATACTGCAGATTGCAAATGACAAACCTCAAATAACACAGGGGTTTCTTAAGGATAGTTACTAAAAGTTCTTTGGGCAAGTACAGCTTAACACCATAATGAGCCCAGAGAGGATATATTTCAGTAGTTAACGTTTTGGTATTGGATGCAATCTGTGAAAGCCTTTATCTGTACTATGATGGTATCGTAAGATCCTAATGTTAGAACCAATGTAATTGAAAACAGTCTGTCTTTGCTTCCTTCATTTAATGACAAGAAGGCCTGCCCCACAAAATGGTTTGTACAAGTAAGATGTACTCAATCACATCACTACAGTTCCTGTTTGCACTGTTTTGATCAGGATTTTGAACTAGTATTTTGAATTTGTTCCCTGATGTTGACATCAAAATACTTATCAGTCCTACTGTTGTTAAGATGTTGGTGTTCAGTTGCAACACTTCAACAGGTGCTACTTATTTTTGTTTCAGGCTCTGATGTTTACTGCCATTTCAGTGGGGTTTGTTTGATCAAACACCCTTTAGCAGCTTTTAGAAATCTTAGCAACTACGTAAATTCTGTTTTCATGTTGATGAAAGGCTGGATTTCTTTTTCATTTATATGGATCAATTCTTATAAAAGTTCTCTGTCTTCCTGCTAGTTTTATGCTGGATGCTACTTAAACAGGACAGTTAAATCTGGTAATGAAAAATGGAACTGCTTTCAGGAAAAGCTGGGACACAAAAATTAGAGTTTATTTTAATTAAAGTGTGAGTTTGTTTCAGAAGAGACTTGCAAATGTATCACTTATGGTGGCAGGCCTGTATTTCCTTCTAAGTGCAGCATCTAGATCCTCAAATACAAGGGGAATATAAACAAGGTAAAAGGAAACCAGAGATCAGCGAATGATCCGTTCTATGATCCAACCCATTTCATGGTGAAAGTCTTCTGGTGATAACGCTTTTCACATCCCCAGGTCTTCTTTAACATGTGTTACAAATCTTCAGCATGCCCCTAACTTGGGAAATAAGCAAACACCTTCAGTAGTAAATCTGGCCAGCACAATACACAAGTGTTTAAAAATGGAGAAATTCCAGGTTCCCCAGCCAGTACTTGAACCTGTGACCTGCTGGCCCAGAGGTGTGAAAGCACTCTCTTGAGCCAATGATATCACTTTAAATGCTACAAACTGAAGACATGTCAAATGAATCATTTATTCAGTTCAGTCAGCTTTAAATTTTCTTGGTAAATGTTCCTGAAAACAGAGAAAGGCTTCCAGGTTTCTCTGTGTGTGTGTGCACATGTGTGTGAGGACACATGAGCATAAACCACCTCCACTAAGAAATGTAAGCTTGTATGTTTGTTCTGACATAAGGTTCAATATGCTTTTATTTTTATTTTTTTAACCATCTATGTTCCAATCTATAAGGATGATTTAAAGTATTTGGGATCAAAGTATGCCTCGTAGTTTCAGTTAAAGCAGATACTTTTCAACGCATATTAAAATTCACATAAAAATTATGTCTGGAGGAAGAAACATGTTATGATCCAACACAATGCTCTTCAGCTTTGACTGAGGGTCATCCAAGTGACATTTAACATCATGTTATCCATCAAGAATCTTTATGTCTTTTTTATTAATGAATTTCTCAAGTTTCTTCATAGAGCTAGTTGGGATCTGCACCCCACTGTTGTCACAGGACTGCTGCTCCAGAATCCTGTGGTCCTAATGATCAAAATCCATCTAATTTCAAGCCTAAATGTGTTCAGACTGAACTTGTTCCAATTGTTTTCTCACATCAGCACTGTTATTTAAATTAAAAGCTTGGGGGAATCCTCCATGATCATACTGTAGCAGATAGTCTTACCATTTGCAGCCTTCATTCTGCATCTAGGTTTGGCTTTTTTCATCTTCCCTTGTAAGACAGGTTCTCCATTCCTTGCCCATCTTGGTAGTCCTTCTCTGTTCCTTTTCAGATTTATCTTGCTTTAAACCCTTTCCAGATTTATCCTGCTTTAAACGTAACTAACTAGAAATCTTCAGAAGCAACTCTCCTACCTACCTGAAACTCTGTCTACCAGGAACAGCTTTCCTTCCTTCTCTCAGGATTGCATGCTTGCATGACACAGATGGGTCACTGTCACCATGCGATGAACTTTGTACAAAGAAAAACTCCTTTATTCTGCTCTATCTTTCCACCTGAGGAGCTCCAGGTCATAGCAACAATTCTTGCTATTAGCTATTGCCCTGTATTTTTTTTACTACTACATATCGTTCCATTGAAATTGTTATTTTAGCAGGTGTAGTAATTCAATGCCTGGGAATGTCCTCCTATAAGATTTATTCTGACAAAGACATTTCCGAAATTTCCATATCTTATACATCAAGCTGCTGTCATGCCCTGTTTTTCTTCTTCACTCTCTTTCTGGGATAAGCATCAGCCAGCAGTTACTCCAGCCAACATCATCAAAATCAGGCGCTTTTTTCAGTTGCTGCACTTCCAAAGCAAACTCAAACAAATAAAAATACATAAGAACAGGTTCAGGGACCTTACAAGTAAATTATAAAAACATAAAACCCAAGCAGATGCAAACAACCATATTAATGCTTCACTGAGCTTCTCTATGTAGTTTTAACTCCAGGGTTCTTCCTACAAGTAAAACATGTACTGCTTTAGCCACAATGTTATATGCTCAGATATTATGAAACGTATAGATGAGCAATTTAAGATAGATAAGGGAAATGGGGCACCAATAAGGACTGAAAAATTTCCAGGGAATATAACTTGATGTTAAAGAAAGCTGGCTGGCTGATTTTTTTTAAAAGACTGTATTTTGTTTACATGTTTAGAAGTTAGACATTGTTCCAAGATATTTCAGGTAGAAGCTGCTTCTTGCAGTGACTACAAAAGCTAAATGGATATAGAGAGAAATGTTGTCACTGACACACAGACTTGTTTCTGGGGACTAGGGACTGGAGAAGAGACCAGTGGAAGCAGCACGGGTATATGTCATGCTGTGCCTGAGACGTGTCACCCTGGTATATGCAGTGCGGTACCATACTAACTTCTTCCCCCATTGTCATGGTTTAGCCCCAGCCAGCAGCATATAGCTGTATAACAACAACTCATTCTTTGATAGGTTTAGTGATTCTAAACCACAGCTTACCAGATCCTTATCAAGAAAACACATCTAATTGCAGCCAGCCTGGCAGAATATCACACTGAAAAATGCATCTGAATGTGTAATACCAGCAACAAAAATCCAAACCAGTTATGTAGCCTGTTGAGTATCATGCGTGTGTTTGCACATGAACTGCATCTGTATTTTCATAGATGCTTTTTAATTTGTAAGTCATGTTAAGGAACTCTGCTACCCTTAAAATGCCCTCCTGTTTCCACCAACGTTCTAAATTGCCAGTCACTGATAGTTCCACCTGAAGGAAACAGGTCCTGTAAGTGCCAAAAAATAACAGCAGCTACATTTTCAAAATCTAGACTGTAATGATTTCCCCTTAATCAATGAGAAAACTTTCCATCAGTTCTTGAAGGGTCAGGTTTGTTTGTTCTTTCTTATGTTTTGTCTTAGTATAAATACAAGGGATTAAACTGATTAAGTGTTTCAGATTTCATTTCAAGAATTGACATGTACATTTCCTTACCTGACTCTTTCATAGGACACAGTGCGCACTGCATGCCCCAGGCTTCACCGTACAGGCAACAGCACTCAGTATATGTAGTTTGCTTCCCAACCAGGGGTCGACTACAAACAAAATCATCACTTAGATGCTGCCAGCAAAGATCCTGGTAGACCTCAGTTTCTTCAGTTTGTTCTGACGGAGAAGACAGTATTAGATCATCATCGCAGCACTGTTACTTAAAAAAAGATACTCGTGTAATGCAGAATTTTCTAAACTTAGATTAGAAAAATAACCTAGCTTTACAGACTTTGCTGAATACAAATTTAAGCTTAGAAGTCATGACCATTTTTAAGTGCCTGAGGTGGCTCATCCCTTGAGTGTTCAGCTTTGCAAAAATCTTAAAAGGTTCTCATTTGGCACTGTTACGCCAATTTAAAAGCACATTGGGTTGCACACCCAAGAAATAAAACTTCCTAGATCAGTAGTCATTGCTGAACCCTTAACACTGACTCAGCTCTGCTCTCATGGAAGTTAACAGAGCTTGACAAAAAACAGTGTTAGGTGAATATTTGGGGAACTCCATCCACAGAATGAATCTTTAAAAGTTGTTATTTTGCTTTTGTTATATTGCTGTCAATGGCATCTGAAAGAACTTTTACAGCTAGGGCAGAGCTGAACAAAAAATTTACATGGGCTCAACGGGAGACGTACTTGGAAGAGAGTCCCATTAACTAAACAGACAAACTACATCAGCTCAGGAAATCCCCCGAGCTGAAAATAGCTGGAGGCTGGGAGAGTGCTGGGGAGGGTGAGGAGAAGTATTGTTTATCTGCTCTTCTGGTCCCTAATCATCCACTTACAGCTATTGTTAGAGACAGAATACTGCTGTGAACTACTGCCACATTCTTATGAACATTAACAAAAACATTTTGTCAAAGCTGGAATATTTCAGAGGCATACTAGTTCTGACAAAGATCTCAGTAGGAACAATTCCTAGTCCTAGCAATCTCTGATCACTGCTGATTGGAGGGAGGTGAACTGTAAATGTAATCTTCCACTTGGAATGTAAAAACCTCAGCACAATCGTTTTGTAGAGACATCTGCAAGGTTTTGATTTTGTTCCAACATAAACTGAAAAATAAGAGTTGTCACAAACCAAGGTTCTGTTTTGTCTGTGTATATCTATTAACTGCATTTTTACATGATGCACTGTTGCATGGGTGAGTATGGAATTGAAACCTAGCTCAAGAGTAAAACGGTGAGTTGTGAAAGTGCAAAGGTGATCAGAATTTAGGTACCTATTCTACTAAGAACTTGCCAGAACACGCAGTGAAGAGCAGCAGTGGGTCTCTGCAACCAACCCCAAATTCCTCTGGCAGAAAAGGAACCAGCCTGCCCCCTCCTCCTCTGCAGTAGGGAGGACATTGCCAGTAGTGATACAAGGCCCAAGCGCTTTGTGCTGGGCGAGAAGATCATTGCTGTATCGGCCCCAGTGTTGCATGACGGAAGACCCTTTGGGCCTTTGCATTCTCTTCATATCCTAGATGAACCCAAAGGACAATCCTGCTCTTCGTTTTTTAACTGAAGATTGAACAATAGAAGTGCTGTGGTTCTTTCACAGTTTCATGCAAGAGGATGACCAACATTACTCCTCAAAAGTATCAGTCTTATAATTTGGAGCGACTAAAGCAGGCATTCAGTCTGTATTCCCATTTCCTTTCACAGAAGTGTCTTAGGAAAATTCATTGCAAGTTGCAGGGACCAGAGGTCTGGATTTATGGCTATACAGTGCCAATAGTCATCAAACCCATTGTAACATTTCTTTCAAAGATGTGTGTGGCACAGACAAAGCTCTGCAGGCTGCATAATGCTCTGGATTTCTGAGACGTTTCTAAGAATCTCATCATATCTAACATTTTTTCTGAAATCGGTGTCTACTGAAATTAAAAGAACATGCAAAAACCTTACTTTAACAGTGATGCTGCAGCCCACAGCTTGAAAATGTGAGCTTGATGTACCCTCATCATTAATCAACTGAAAGCACAGATACAATTTCAGCTATTTCCTCCTACATCCTGTTATTCCTGTTTTTACTCCTTGCTTTGTTAGAAGCAGTCACTCACTCCGAACTGAACCTCCAGGGTTAGCCCACAGCCAAACCCCAGCCTCGGTGAGACAGCAAGCAGGCTGTGCCTCATTACCTACGAGGCTGGACAAGGCAGATGCGGAGCTGGTGAATCAGGGGGCTGAAGACTCCCCAGCCCAAGCCTAATCTCATTAATACTTCCAGCAATCTCCTGTCTGCATTGGCAAAGTGGAGCCTACATCATGATGCCTTCTGGATCAACAGATGACAGTCCAAGCATTGCCTTCCAAAATCCTCCAAAAGAGCAGGCTCATCCAAGGATGACCCAGTCTAAGCTCACTGGGGTCTGTAGTCATGTCAGCAGCACCTCGTAGAGGTGTACTCACTTCAGTAATATGTATAATGGATCATACCACTTGAATCTGCTGGTCTGATGCACCGCTTTTCTGTTGCGTCCAGAACCATTGGGTGTGTACAGAAACAGTTGTAAGATCCTTCTGTGTTAATGCACTGGCCATCAATACAGCTGTTTGGGTCCTGACATTCATCCGTGTCTTTAAAATGGAAGGAAACGTATCAAGGAGAGCCAGAACAAAGTAGTCGCATTGTGTTAATCCATGTTTATATTTTCCTATATTAGGAGCAGATTTCCCTGCATGCCTTCTGTTAATTACCACAAAGACCGATTGCTGGCAGCAAAATCCTGCCTGTGCCCATGGAGAAGGACAGAGAGATCAGCAGGATGCTGCCCTCTAAACTCCAAGTACTAGGGAGCATCTGGATGAGCAGGCTTGCTGGGGGGGTTGGAGTGCCAGGCATACCCTGCATCCAGCACCGCTGCAGCTGCTTCCCACGTTCCTATCCCTTTAGGACAGTACCAGCAGGCATTAGAGGTGGGCATACTCTCCGAGACTCTTCATGAGCTGGTCAGGAGAAGGGCTCACCTTATCTAGCCACAGTAGTTCTATTCCTTAGTTCGTCTTGGAGAGGAAAAGCAGAAATTTAGCTCAAAGGGGAGAGCAGGCCATTTTACTTCAAATAAATTACATTAAATCAGCAAAAGACCCACCCTTTGTAAAGAACAACCACAGAATCCCAAGGTGAAAGGCTCTCTTATTGCGGTTGCAAAAATTACTTCCTTTCATTATGCTATTCTGCACATTATACATGGCTTTCTGCTTACAAAGCAAAAGTCAGGGTCACAGTTATGAGTAATTTTCAGCTGAATACCAGAACCAAAGGAGTACAAGGTTGTGCAGACTAAAATGGGCTTATCAATGACCTGAACTGTAATTTCACATTGCACATTAACTCCTCGTGGAACATATCTGTCCTTGAAAAAAAAAAAAAAATCTGCATTAATTTGATTTATTATAGTAAACCCAGCACACTTAGCAAATGAAAGCTGAGCTTCAACATACAGGCTTTCACTGCTCACCCCCCATGTACAAAGAACACAAGGCTAAATTGCACCTTGGCAGAGTGAAGCAGCAGTGTGCATTTAAGGAGGGAGCCACCTCTGATCACTTTGTGCTGCCTGCGTAAAGGCTGGTACCAGCTCTAGACTACACACTCAAAGGAGCACAAGGGGCTGTTTTGGAGATGCAAACTCCTGGGAGCAATTTGCTGAGAAAGGAAGCAAATAAAACAAACCCTGCTCTACACGCCATCGCCATGTCAGCCAGAATTGCTGCCCAGCTAAGCAGAAGGGAAGGGAAGTGACCCAATGCCTCTTTAAAAGCTGCTACAGGAGTTTGGAGGCCCGGTGTTCCTCCCCTTGCTGGGAATACTGCAGTTCTGATGGGAATCCTGCCGTACGAGTCTGCTTGTTTTGCCCATCTGCATACCATTATAGTGACAAGACTGCTTTAAATAAACTTACCAAAGCACTGGAGCTTAACAGGGTCATAATATGTGCCTTGTTTACAGTAGCACTCATAACCTGGCTGCGTATTCAAACAGAAGCCATTTTTACAGATTTCTTGTCCAAAGAGTTGGCATTCATCAGCATCTGGGGAGAAAACATTAAACGCTGTATTACCATAATAATTATGAGGCCACGCAGAGGAGCAAGATGGAATAAAGCCTGTACACTTCTCTGTTCAGGCAAGCTTCACTTTAAACAGAGGGCCCCAGGAGCACAGATAGCCACAGGAATAAAAAAAAAATGGTGTGGAAGAGGCTACGATGTGCTTGTAGCCAGAATGGGAAAGGGAAAGCTGGTGGACCCTGACTTTCCCTTTCCCTTGTCAAAGTAAGTCCTGTGGCACACAGACTAGAAGCATCTGCAGCTCCCTTTTCTTTTCTTTGGTGTCACATTGCTCTTAGCTCCAAGCAAAACAGATGAAGAATATGGCCTGTACTTTCCAGTATAATTTGCTTTATCCGTGGGATTCTCACCAACCGGCGGGGAAAACGACCAGCTTGGCTGAATAGGGAGCTTTTGCGGGGACTCAGGGAAAA